AATATATAATTATATAAAAATAAAACTTTACGTCGTAAGATTGTTATTGGATATCCAATAAATTTTTACCATTTCCATTAAATAAATAATTTTCTTACATCCAATTTTGAGAGAGAGAGAAGCGTTCTGAAAATCAATTATATAGTTGTTTCTCTATAAGTATATATAGAATTATCTGTGAAAAATATATAGCACGATTAACCTTATATTATATCGTCTCCCCCCCCCATGTTTCTTTATAAAATTCACTTTTACAAATCGGGCAAGGAAGTTTCGGAGTTTCGACTTTTTCCGGTCATCGACAGAAAAACTTGCCATATATGTATATTTTGCTATTAGTATAATTAACCCAGATTTTCCCGGATTTATGGTGAACGGCACGCAGGTCACTAGCACGCATTGCGCATTATAACAGACTGCTGACATGCCTTTGATTGCGAAGAAGTGGCAAAAAATTGCACAATGTTAGCCAACTATAATTAATTACCTGTCATTTAATTAATTTTAATAGCCAAAGTTATTTATTTCAACATTAACAAGAAAATTAAACTATTATAAAGAAATTCTAGAGCCAATTTAATATAACTAACACTTACGATTTTCTAATTATAATCGTTATATCAATTGCGACGTTATGTCGCTATCAATTGAATCGTCGGAATTAATTCACGATCGTAGAAAAAAATGTACAATTATAATGCAAAGCTTTTAATAGAAGAAAATAGTTGAATATTACTAAAAAATGGCATAAGTCGTGATTTAATAAAGATAATATATAATTATAGTTTTCTCATTCAGGAAAAGATAAATGTATACATAACATGGCGCTGCTCAAGATCCTTATTAATGGACATTGAAAGAGACGATTATGCACGACATCGGGTGATATTGCGACAATGCAATGCTTGTAGCAGTTTTACAGGCGGTTTATACTTTCATTTGCTGCTAGGTGCAAATCAGTCTCATTTTTGCATTTGTCAGTATACTTTTTTTCTCAAAATAGAAATGTATAGCAATAAATTATAATAATAAATATCATAAATATATCTATGATAATTTATATCGCTGATCTCGCAACCAAAATCACAAAAAAATTCTCTAAGAAAACTTTGACATCGCTTTTTCTTTTTTAGTCCCTATAAATATTGTTTCTTATTAAATATGCAACCATAACGAGATTATTGTTCGTTTAGGGAAGATTTTCGAGACAATAGCACGAGAGGATATCAGCAGCGGCACAATGTCAGAGGGTTGCACAAGTTGCAGAGGCGCGAATTATGCGGGCAACACTTTACAATTAGGCACGACTCCCGGTGGCAACACCGGAAGTTTGTCGTCTACTTCTGGAACAAGCACAACCACAAGAAGAGTTCAAGTCCGCGCAAAAGTGCTATACGGCACAGGCAAGGCGATAGCGAGCTTGCAAGCTCAGGAGAAAGCAGCCAGACATTGACGAGGTAATTAAATAAACGTAATTAACTCTACATTAATCTGATATAGTCTGCGAGACACTTTGCGCGTCATATGTACTACTTTAATATCTATCTTCTATTAATTTTTTATACGGATACAAAAGCAACGAATTTATATTATTTTTGTATAAAAGATTATTTCTCTAGGCTTTTTTATTTTAATTTATGATATTATAATATAATATATATAAAGTACTAAGTAAATAAAATTAGCATTTATATTGCTAAAACTCTGCTGGAATTTGTCACACATAACCAGACTAATTGTAAGATTAATACACGTTAAATAAACGGTATAAAAAAAATTATTGGACGACAACAGGCAAGTAGAAATAATATATAATTCTGCAAAAATCATTGAACTTTGTGGGAATATTTTGATGAGGACTATGGAATTAAAACAAATTTGTCAGACTGTCAACAGTTAAAACGATGTTCAACGGTCAATCTAGAAAACATCGATTGAGCACACGCTAATTAATATAATTTTTTTCTCGCCATTTTTTTATCGTCAACGCGATTATTGTATGTATCTATTGCGGATCGCGAGAAAGCTTACCGCACAATTATAGGAAGCTCGATCTCCCATCTTCCTACCGAGAGATGGTCCAAACAGGACGGACGCGGCCAATCTCCCCGTCACTAGGCGATCAACAGTCGAAATAACGAGAGGCCGCGGATAACAGTAAAAATATGCAAAAAAAAATGACACACCGACACCGACGAACAAAAAACAAAGCCTGGAGGCACCATCCTTCCTCGCGGATAAGACCAGTCGGCCGATCTGATCGCCAGTTAGTACCTGGTTAACCGTCCTCGAGAAGGCCGCCACCTCGATTTACGCGTCTCCGTGTGTTTTTTCTTTTTCTTTTTTTTTTCCGTCATCTTTCTCCTGTTTCTCGATCTTGTTCCCTATCGTTTACGCGTCTTCATTTTGCTTTATCTCTGCGAGAATTTTGACGAGTATGCACCGATGGATGTAAGTGCAGCCTGGAACGTGTCGCCGCGCAAAATGCGCCTTGCAACTTTGTGAGTCGTTATCGATAGATGTCTGTTTCTTTTTATTTTTTAATCCTGGTGTATGTGTATGCATATGTACTTGCAAATATCATTGAAGCGAATATTTTCAAATTAAACAAAATCTGAATCACTCGCGATCAAGATTCGCAAAATGTTTTTGAATAATATTTTCCGATAATATTTATAAATTAATATACATTAGATGGTATATATTTTTTGATCTAATACTTTTCTAATCATTGATTTAATTGAATTATGCATCATCGTTACACGTATCGCCACTCTATAAATATATATATTTTTATGATTTATTTATTATTTGTCAAAAAACTTTAAAAAAAGTATTTCTAACAGCTTAATAAGGTCAATATAATTTCTTTGGCCCATCCTGTGTATTTGCCGTTCTACAATTCACGATCCCGTTATATTTCTCTCGATCTTAACGTCTCACAGTGTCAACAGCTTCATTTAATAAATATTTTGACTTATTTGTGGGTCCTTCTTTTTTTCCTCTTTTTTTAATTTAATATTTCTCATATCATATCGCGCATTAAAAATAAACGATTGTTATTTTTTTTTGCTTTATCTAATTGTTTAGTTACTTTAATCGTGAAATAAATATCGTTTTTGTATTACTTTTTATTTTCGCCATCTATATCAAAATTCGTGCATGGCAGGGCATTAAAAATTAAATCATTATCGAGAAATACTGCGCAAAACTACTTGAACATTAAAACTGCATAAATTTATCAATTGAGAAAATTAATTAAATAAAAATTTTTCAATTAGATTATTGCATTCAAGATTTTTCAATACATATTCACGACAAAGATTTTTTAGATTATTTGACATTAGCGAGAAGTAAATATATAAATTTTATATCTATAACAATTTTTTTGACACATATCGCATTATAATAAATAATTTTTTCTTTAATTGTGTCAGCATCATCCTTTCTTCTCTCTCCTACGCATTATCATCAAAATCGGGAGAAGAAAACGATAAAGCAGAATACTACACCGAAAATCAAACGTCAAATTACAAAGTGAAAATTTCTGAAAAAGATGAGCAATTGCTTTTCACATCAACAGACAATCTGGAAAAAAGAATAAATATTTCATCAGGCTGCAATCCTTTAACTGCAGATATCCAGAAAAGCGACGCAAATATTTTGTATCCTATCAAAGCACCTTGTTTGAAATACATACAGAAGTTGCTAAAGGAAAAGATAGAAAAGGGAACAGCAACGGATGTGTTACAGCCGAGAGATTCCGACGGAACCACGTATATTCGTGTAAAAGAGGCGAATCAGACGGGAAATGGAATCCAACATGAATTTTTGAATGCATCGCGCATTTCTGCAAGCTTCACAGCGACAAAATCAGCCAAAAATGAAAAGAAAAATGAAGATAATAAAAGGATAAAAAATATAAAATTTCGAGAAGAAGAAACCGGACCGCTGAATAATGCGGATGCCAAAAGTAACATTTCGAAATCGTTGAACAATGTAAAAAGTAACACACCGCAGCAAGTAAAATTTTTTGAAACACAGAATGATAACGATGAAAAAACAAATAAAAATTTGAACAAAAGTGACAAAATTTTTTTGGTAACAAGGGAAAACTTTGTTAAAAATTCGAATAAAAGTTGGATCCGAATGAGCAATGTGATGGCACAGAATGCTGATGCGAAAGTTGGAAATCAAACTCTCGAAAGTCGTACTGAACAAGAAAACTGGGAATCCGCAGAAGACGATCTGATGGAAGCTGCAAATTTTGGATTGCAAGCCATGCACAAACTTTATTATATCCAGGAACCCAAATTATATTCGCTGGGTAAATATTGAAAGAAAAAAATTAAAATTTGTTGCAAGAAAATATTTAGTCGCTAATATTATATTAGCCATTATTATATATATTAAATCTGTATCTATATATTAAATTTCACATATGATACGAAACAAAAATGCAGGTCTTTATCTCGGGCTCGACAATCCAGCGAGATACGTGGCTGCATTTAACGATCAATCGAAAGAAGCGAGAGATCTCGCAAAATTCGGATACGCAGTTCTTCAAGGTACCGCTATGTTCTTAAAAAAGTAAGTTAATAAGTGACTTAATAAGTGACCGTAAATTTTCGTTAATGTTTATATAAGAGACTTTCTACGTTTATTTCTGCTCTGATTATTTTGTCAGGTTTCCCAACGCACCATTAGAATTACCTTTATCCCGAACTAAGTTTACCCGAAAAACCTTGCTGGAACAACAATGTCCACAAAGGGACCCACCTCAATGCCCACCGGCTAGTCTAAGGTACAGAACGTCTGACGGCAGCTGTAATAATTTGCAGAATCTCTGGTGGGGTTCCGCAATGTCTGCGATGCAGAGGTAAACGATGCAATAATGACATTAATAATCCCAAATATCACAAAGTATTTCCCTTAATTATACTAGAAAAATCATTTTCTTACGCTCAGATTTCTACCGCCTGAATATCAGGATGGCGTTCAAACCATTAGACGATCGAAAAACGGAAGACCACTCCCGTCTGCGCGAGATATCACGAATCGAATTCATGAAAGTAAAGACATACCTTTGGCATCCGTTACTCACATGCTAATGCAATGGGGACAATTCGTAGATCATGATTTGACAGGTATATTATTAAAAACAGATAGAAAAAATTCTGTATAGATATACGTATATCTGTACAAATTTTATATTTGATATATTTGAAGACGCAATTGCCATATAATCATATCTATTATATATTAACAGCGACCGGTCAAAGCAGAGGATTTAATGGCACAGTGCCACAATGTTGTTTACCAAGAGGTGCCGGCTTTCAACCGCCAGAGTTCATGGTAATAAATTGATTAATCGATACCAATAACTTTTAGTCGTATATCAATAGCACATCTATTAGATATTATAAACGTTTTAAAGTCTACAGTTTATATATTTTTTTATAAGAATAATTTATATTGTATTGACGTTGAATAATATTCTATTATGTCTTGACGCGAATATTGCCGCGCCAAATTGCGAGATTTATAAGTCATAATTCTCGCGCGTCCCATTTTATACTCAAAAAGTTGAAAATGTTATATATCCTACGAGAAAACACTAAAAGAAAATATATTTATAATGTATATCGATAGCACCCGGAGTGTTTACCGATAGCAGTGAATCTACGCGACAGCTTCTATGGTCCTTTGGGCGTAAGATGTCTAGAGTTTCTCAGAAGCGGACCGGCTCCTAAAGAGGGCTGCAAGTTTGGCCCTAGAGAACAACTCTCCCAAGTGACCAGTTATTTGGATGCGTCCACAGTTTATAGCAGTAACGCCGTGCATAGTGACAGTCTGAGGATATTCCGAAACGGTGAATAGAATTCTCTTTTAGTTGTAATAATAGAGAACAAAGAGGAGAGGAGAGACGAGAAGAAGGTAATCTTTTCTCTATTCCCACAAGATTACCTATTTTTTATGAAAAAAAATTCATTAAAATTTTAGGATTGCTGCAATACGGAAAAATTCAATCGCGACGACCTTTGCTTCCAAAACGCGAATCCGATCTGTGCAACCGCGGATCTTTGTCGACGACTTGCTTTCGAGCCGGCGACGGACGTCTCAGTGAGCAGCCTGCTCTTACATCTCTACACGTCGTCTTTCTAAGATTGCACAATAGAATAGCTACAGAACTATTCGCCTTAAACTCCCATTGGAGCGATGAGAAACTTTTTCAAGAAACCCGAAGGATCGTCGGCGCCGTAATTCAACATATAACCTATCGAGAATTTCTGCCGATCGTTCTTGGTAAAATAACTTCTTGTTTATTGTACTACATTATTATGTTTACTCGACGATAACATAAGACCGTCATAAATATAACGCTAAAAGAAATAAAGCGTTTTAAAAACACCGTAAAATTTTAGGTCCTCGGGTGATGAAAATTTTTGATCTGGAAGTTCTTAAAAAAGGATATTACGAAGGATACGATCCAACTATAAATCCTACAATTGCAAATTCATTTTCTACAGCGGCTTATCGATTCGGACACTCGTTGGTCCAGCAGAGTTTTATTAGATTCGATAGCAATCATAGGCCCATATTTAATAGTAAGTAGAATTAAAATTTTTTAGCACACTCATATTATTTGACTCTGGCATAATAATATATGTAAACTTAATTGTTAAAACTACAATCAATAATTTACATTTACGAGAGATGCGCCGTCAGATATAAATTTTAAATAAAGCAAACAAAGTTCGATGTAATTATAAATAGACGTAAATTTGCATATAGGCGAGATATATGTGAATTGCTGCATCGTGGTGCACACACACATTTACTGCATAATAATAGTACATGGCGTACTAATTTCATAATAAATGCTTACAGGCATCGCGAGGAAAATACAATTATTTTCAATATTCAATATATAATTATCATCGAAATTAGAGAGAGTTATACGAAAAATTTTTTTAAGGGATATTTAATACAAGATTAAATAAATAAATGTTATCGTAGATGTCTCGATCCACGACGAGTTTAGCAATCCAGCGAATCTGGAGACGGCGGGATCCGTCGATCGACTTCTTTTAGGGCTAGTGAATCAACCGTGCCAGAGGAGGGACGAGTTCATAACCGAGGAGATTACGAATCATCTCTTTCAAACACCCGGCTTTGCATTCGGTATGGATCTGGCTTCTCTCAATATCCAGCGAGGCAGAGATCACGGTTTGCCACCTTATGTGCGATGGCGTGAGCCTTGCAGCTTGTCGCCGATAAAAAGCTTTGAGGATCTCGATAGAGTGATGTCGTCGGAAATGGCGAGGAAATTTAGATCGCTATACTCGTCAGTAGAAGATATCGATCTCTTTTCGGCCGGACTGGCGGAAAAGTCGGTGACCGGCGGCCTGGTCGGCCCGACCTTTGCCTGCATAATCGGCCAGCAATTCAGCAACCTACGACGCGGCGATCGATTTTGGTACGAGAATGCTGAAAGCGAAAGCAGTTTCACTGCCGGTCAGCTGCAGCAGATTAGACGAATTACTCTAGCTCAAGTATTGTGCCGAACAATGGATGGCATCGAGACCATACAACCGTTTGTCTTTCTCGCGACGGATACGTTGAAAAACCGACGTCTCTCCTGTGATGATCCGATCATTGGACAATTGAATCTCGAATTTTGGGCCGAACGACCGTCTGAATTTAGAACCTACGTAGACGATCCACAAAAGATTAAAGCGGTCGACATAAATGATTCTATTTCTAAATCGAAAGAAGAAAACATCAATTCGAGGAGGAAAGTCAGCAATCAGGAACAAGAAAAGATTATACCTCAGCAGCCTTTCAAAAACAGCGTTAATCAACAAAATAAAATCATCATAAAAAGACCGCTTGGACGTCCAGATAACAACAATGTCACAATCGTGGTCCAGAACAATGCCGTGAATTCGCCTGTTTTCGTAAACGAGGGTATTTACGGTTCGCATGTGAAAATACAGCAGCAGCCTGGCACCAAACCGATTTCAAATCTTAATCAAGCTGTAAACAGTTATCCCGTATTTCGGCCACAAGCAAAACCTATACCTACGACAATCCCTCATTCGGCAAATTTTCATTCAGCGAGTTATCCGTATGTTCCCCACGCTTTCGACGATCCTAGTAATCCGAATCCGCTCGCTTACGGATACAGATCACCTGCTTTCGCACAAGATGACGTCTTTTACGATAATTATTCTCCCACAAGTCCGAGGCCTACTCTCTATACCTATTATACAAATTTCCAGCAAAAATATACTACTCAGATGCCCGATCGCGAGGTCAACGGTTATTTGATCAATTACGGATCCTCCTCGTATAATAATCACGATTCACTTTCGCACTCTTACGAAAGACCTAAACCTTTAGTAAATTCTGAACATTATTACGAATTAAACGATAATAAAAAATCAACGCAAAAATTTGATTACATTAATTCTACACCTTCGATAAACGCACGGCCGACTTTTAAGCCGAATTATGCATCGAATGACGAATCTTATCATACGCACGAGACAAATTACAATGGATATAAATTTTCAACAACCATCTGGCCAAATTCTCGACCAAATTATGAATCAAACGATGAAGCGTATCATGGACAAAAACCATCTGTTATAGATTATAACAAATCTAAACCTTTAACCAACTCGCGACCGGATGATGTATTATATAAATTACAGAAACCGGTTTATGGTGGACTTATGGCTCTAGCAAATTTGCGACCGGATTTAAAACCGAATTATCAATTATATGGCACACAGAAACCAAGCGGTATCGAAAATTTACAGAATGACGATTTAAGTAACAAACCGAATAAAGCTTATCAGACTAATCTAAATAAACCGCAACATCAGGAACAATGGAACTCGAATGATTATCACGTGAGACCTAGCGAGAGACCGTATGATTACGATGATCCTGACGCATATCGTAAAAAATCAAATATTAAATCACCAAATTATAATAACTCTCATCAAACAGCATCGATTAATAGACCGAATAATGAATATAATTCTCAATTTTGGAAAACAGATTCGTTAGATTCTAACAAGAATTCTCTGCAAGATGGACTTTATGGATTTATTCCAAATTCTGGAACAAGTACTTCTTCGTATCAAAAAGATACACCAACAAAATCGAGTAATTCATTTTCTACGCATCACAATAATTATGATCGATATTCCAATGCGACTTTGATTTATCAAAAAACACCACCATCTACTCAAAGTAGTTGGATAGACGTCTCATCTTATATAACAGAAAGTAGTACTCGACCTCTTCAAAGCGATTCTTTTAATTCACATAATCCTTCATTCAATCAGAAGGTAACGAATTATCCCATCTATCAGAAAGACAATCAATCGCCATTGTCTTCTTATTCAAAAGAATCGGTCAATAGACCGTTTGCTACCGCAGATTCATATAAATATGATGATTCTTATAAAAATCCTACCAAATCATCTGATTTAAGTGGCCAGTTATTATCCAGTACTCCATATTGGTTAGAAACTTTGACGATTGGTTCTCAGATACACAGAAAAGATGAAAATCTCAATTCAAAACCAACAAAAGTGCAAAGCGTAACAATCGTCACTGAAACGCTCGAAACTGTCCATCATTCTGGACTTTCCGGATACATATCTCAACATGAAATTACCAGCGAGGTCCCAAGGCCATTGGAGCAGCAGATAAAAAATAATGTGCCAATTATCCAGAAACCTGGACAGTATTATTACGAAAAGAACGTGCTATATCGATATCCGGACGAAATAATCGATCAAATTCCCAAAAGTAATAGTTATTCAGCTGGCAAATCTGAGGAAGCATTTATTCAAGATCGAGAAACAACTCCTAAGAATATCGCAGTGGAAACATCAGTTGTCGACGATTCCATAACAAACTCTAAAATGATTCAAAGCGACGAAAATAAATTGACGACGACACCTATGCTCGTAATCAGTGATTATAATAATAACAGAGGCGACATGATGAGGGATCTTCAACGTACTTTCTCGACAGATATCGAAAATGTTGCATCGACTTCCGATAGGTATTATTTTCTAAATTCTTTTGAATAGCTTTGCTTTAAACTACAATGTATGTAAAATAATCGTCGTTCCTAGGCAACTTACGTAATCGACTAGCCAATTAATTGAAGCATATATATTGTCAGGATACATAATTTCGCGATATATATATTTGAATTTCCTGCCACAAAAATCTCTTTGAGAAGATTTTTATATTTATTTTAGAATTTTTATATAAAACATGTAGTTAATTTGCTAAAATACTTTTATGTTGTGTGTATGTTAATATCTTCTGTGTTTGTTAATATCTCTGATTTATTTATAGGATAAATCATTGGGTCAATCCACAAGAAGATCTAAATTTATCGTCGATATTGGAAATGCCCGAAATTCCATCCGATACATTTGCGGATATTAAGGAATTACCTAAACCCATTATATATAAATCAAAGATTAGCACTATTTAAAGTTTACCCTTTTTAATTCATCTTCAATATTTTCGTTTCTCGAATGAAACCGCTGGAAAATTTCAAAATTCTGCTTACTTTACATTACTGTGCTATTAATTTATAGCAAAAGACTAAAAAAGAATATTTATTAAAATTTTAGACTAAATTTTTATTTATAGAAAGTATATTTTAAACAAATATATATTATATATATTGTTTTTTTATCAAAAATATTTAGTCATTTAACTGCTAAGTTTTCAAAAAAATATTTTACTAACAATATGTCTTTATGTAAAATATTGTATGATATATTTTTATGCAAAATTATTTTTATCAGAATTATTTATTTGTCAAGTAATTATTGTAGATTAAATAATTATAAATTAATTAAACTTGCGTAAAAACTTTAGATAAAAATAAAATATAAAATTAATTTATTGCTAACTACCATTCATGCAATGTGACGGTAAAAATATATAAGAAAGTACAGAGAAACACATATCATACATACATATGCATCACTCCCCGCACCTACTCATATATACACATGCACGTACGCATGCACCTACACATAAAATAAGAGAGCATAATGAATCATTTAAGTATACATTTAAGTTTTATTATGTGTTGAAAGAGTGGATCAAAATATAGTCTAGAATATCTAGATCATTATATCAAATTTAAAAAACATTTCCTAGGTTTAATTGTTTGGAATTAGTAACCTCTTATTTTCAGATGCAATTACCGAGATGTTGCATTTTATATACATATTACGTGACTTCTGTTTTAATTATCAGCAAACGTTATTGCGATCGATTAAATTATTAAATCACCAGTATGTAATATTAAAAAATTCTATAAACTTACCTTAACAGTTATATTCTTACAGCAATATATATATATTTTATATTTATCTTATACAAGTTAGAATCCATAATATTGTAATGTAATTAATAAATTATGTTATATGCAAATAGAAATAGAGTAATGAATCGATGAGAATACACTGCTTTTATCATATCATTATTTGAAAACCAATTACCGATATTCAGATTGAATTATTAGCTACATTCGAGATATCTCGAAAGTATAGATTTAATCATTTGCTATTTTGATACAACATAAAATGATACATAAGTTGATAATCTGATACGTTATCAATGTACTTATGAATTATCTCAATAAAATCTCGTTATGACAAAAAACAGATGATTTATACCAGACATAAGTAAACAACAAGATATTAAAGTATGTTGAACTTTTAAAAGTTATTATAAATAAATACATGACACAGTTAACATTGCTAATATGTTATCGTTAAAATAATTATTTTTTGTAATCAAAAATATAACAAAAATTTCCAATAATTTTCTTCAAAATTTATAGTCTCAATGCATTATCTTTTTATTCATCTTTTATTTAAAGAATATTTAAAAAAGCTTTTGCATATATACTATATATATATATATGCGTACATGCATGGTTCTCATAATTATTAATAATTTTAATAATTGATAATTTGTTGATAGTGATCACACAAGACTTAAAGCGATTACTTTGCTTTACTGCATCATTATTGCCATGGAAAACACAATATTTATCGTAAATTGCTATTGATACTGCACTATATATCATACATATATATTCAATTTCAAATTTTTGGCGAACGAGATAGTGTGACAACCGTAGCAGTAAATTTAAAAATATGCATGCACGTATATACATATATATATATATATATATATATATGCGAGTGGAAAAAGATACGACTTACGGTTCGATGTTTTCTCCCGTTTTCCCCGAGGTCCGAGGTTGTTATTGTAGCAGCGGAGTCGTTTCAAGAGACGCATCATCATATAAAGAGATTTACAGCGCGATCCTTCCGAAGATTACGAAGATTAACCGTCTTCTTCCAAAAATATGCTGATCTCCATCCACGATAAGCGCCGTGACAAGAATGCCAATATGTGCGTTCCCTGTGTTTAAAAGAGAAATAGAAAATTTATTTAAGAAAATAGAAATTCTCTTTCAAGTATAATCGTGAGACACAATCTGCAAATTTTGCCATCAATTGCTTCGTTCACGCGTTTATATCTTTTCCTCAAGAATTACTCGTATAGATATTCAAATCTAAACCGTTGAAACGTAATATAATATAAGTATACCTTATTAAATAAACCTTTGTGCACGCAAATAACTTCTCGAACGTTTCCTCCTCCCGCCATATTTCACTCGCGCGCGATGATGATTTATATTTTACCGTTGGCAAATATTCATCAAGAGCCATCTCACGGAGTCTTTTGAAACTCACATATTAATATATATATATATATATCGATGGGTAAAAATTTGCTCGAACAAATTATCCGCTCTTATCTGATTATTTGTACGTATTTAAAAGCAACGATTATACGCATGTATAATATATTGTTTTAATTATTTCTAAAGTAAAAAATAATTAGCGTCTTGCACAAAATAAAATAACGAGTTGTTGTTCCAAAAAAAGTGATATATCTCTATAATGAATATTTACCCTTTTAACAATATTTGGAGTAACTTGACAAAACTAACGACATTTCCGTACTATTTCTTCCGTACTATCGACGCGATATCTTGTATTAAATAACCATAGTAAATACCATCTTTATTAATGCGATAAAGAACGCGAAACATAAACAACGATCGTCTACACTACATCGACTTTTTTGCTTCTCCCGCTATGTTTACCTCACTTGCGATTTGCGTGTCGACTTACTTAACCCGATCACAACATATTTAACAACGATACTGCTAACGTGTATCGATAATCTCGCGAAACCTCTTTATTAATACGAAACAGACGAGACGATGTAAATGCGATCGACTACTCCGTACGAAATTGTTCCGGAACGTCGGAACGAGATTGCTAAAAAAGCGGAACGAGCGAACACGGACTAAAGGCCGGTGTATATATGTATATATATATATATATATAATTCAATAATAACAAAAGATATATTTCTAATATATGCTTTCTTGCGTTTAGCTTTAAAAGCGCAGTTTTCTACACGCTATGATAAAAATTATTTCAATAATAATGAGGTTCTATGATTGTACCATCATATTTTATTGCAAGCTATATATGCGCTGAAAAAATTATTTATTTTATTTCTCGTCTAAATGGAATCAGTATTACTCTGAAATAAACACTCTAATCCAATTAAAATAATTAAATTTATCCCAGGTAGCCCATGTTTCATAAATGTTCCCTAAACATATATATAAATAAAATATATAGATACGTTTAGAGAGAAAGAGAGAGAGAGAGAGAGAGAGAGAAAACGTTGCTACTGCTCGAGATGTTTCTAAATTTCTAGTGCTTTTTTATCTACTTTTTAAATATTTGTTTATAAAAATAAATAAATATTTCTAAACTCTTTACTTACATCACACGAGAGGATACAATTAAAATCTAAGATGTATGCTTCGCGCGCGCGCGCGCGCGCGAGGTCTATAAAAATCGCTTTAAATTACCTTTCGAACTGATAGGTTTCGCAGAAAATAATCCTAAAGTTTGATACACTTGCACCTTGTACTACATACTTTAAGTGCCGGGATATAGTTCCTCCCTAGCGCTGAAGATGGCGCGCAGCGGCGCGCAGGCGCAGCGCGCTGCCGAGTGACGAAGTGACAGAGCGATAGAGACACAGCAGAGAGACTTTTATATATTATAAACAATATATAATAAATAGAATAATAATAATATATAATATATAATAATATTCTAGATATATAATACGTACATAATATTGTATATATTATATAATATATGTATAGAAGTCTGGGGATAAAGAAAAATAGAGTGGTGGGGGAAGATGAAGTGGGGAACGGTCCGATTCCGCCATTTCGTTGCATTCGTTGGCCGCTGTCGCGACGCCGCGGCCGCGAAGGCGAGAAGGTATCAGTTGGTAGCGGCGCGTCGTCCGTCGTCCCGGGCGAGAGGCGTTGTTAGCGATGTATCGATACGTGCGTTTACGCAGGCCGACGCAGACCGTGACGGCGATCTCGGTGCTCCTTTTCCGCGTATGTCTCGTGTCGCTTGTGCTCGTGTGGCGGCCGGGGCCGGGGCCGGTGTCATGCCAGGAAAACAGTCTAACGAACCGTATGCGGGCGATCAGCGAGGATCTGGACCGACAGCTCAACGAGATAATGGCTTCGCAGGCGCTCACCTATTCGACGATCAACATTGCCGGATTGCCCTACAACGCCACCACCAAGTTCAATCCGAAGGGCATGGGCCAGCTGTACAACGTTACGAATATGTTTATCGACTTGGTGCAGAGCAAGCAGGCGTATCCGGAAGGTGAGTGGTTGTCAAAAAATGTCGGGAAAGACAACGCGAACGCGTCGCGAAATATCGTAGGACTTTTAGGGTTAGGGCACGGAATGCGAATTTTCGCCTCGCGATGGTTACGCCCTGTGCCCTGTCTAACGCCGATACGCGCTGCGCGCCCGAAAAAAATGGCCGGTCGCTTGTTGGTAAACAGAGACGGCTGTCAAACGGAGGCGCGAATCATATATTGACGGCGTTGACAGATGATTCGCGCGTCGCTCGCTTCCAAAATTATCACGAGTAGATTTTATCTCGCTGTCGAAGAATAACTATAGAGCAAAACTTTTCTCTCTCTCTCTTTCTATGTATCGAAATTAATATTTTCACTATATTACAATGAGTTTATTTCGATAAAAATGAAACAATTGTCATATTGAGGGTGTGGGGGAATGGAGATGCCGAATTTAGTATGCTCGTTTCGTAAACAAAATATTATGAAAAAAGATTAGTGAAAGTGACGGCATATCTCTCTTTTGTCACGATTCTACCTTGAAAAATGATCAACGAATTATAAGAAGCCGTACTTTGCTAACCGGCTCCAACGCATGAATTCAGCTTTACAAGCGGATGCGTTCATCGCGCGCGCTAGGTCGAATTACGCGTGAAGGTCGTGAAATCGAATGATAAATCTATTTAAAAAAGATTTCAATTAATCGCGGAATTGGAATTAATATTGACGCATTCTTGAAATATCAACGCAACACCTTGGCCTAATTCTATTTTATGCGTATCTTTTATAGCGCTTTTACTCCTATTTATAGATAAAATATATAAAAATAGGATTCAGTTTATCAGAATCAATCAACCGATATCGTTTCAATCTAATCAGTAAGCGGAAGAATATAGTGCCCGATTTATGATTCTGTTACAAATGCGAAATACAAACGAGATAAAATAAAATCATATTTCATTCGCGTGAGTTGGAGCATTTACAAAAATTTTACATTTTAAATAATGTAACGTACATTATTATTAAATTAAATTATTAAACAAGGAATTACCATTTTATATACATTTATTTTTTCAATGTAATCCTAGTCTTTGTATAAAAGCTGTTAGAACAATCGTGCTGTCTGAAATAATTAATTTTCATTCATTTATATACGTACAAATTTTTCGCTTGAATTTATTTCACTGGACGAATGCTTTTATCCGCGAATCTGATTTTTCCGATTCGTGCAGATTCACACGACGTTCCTGCATTCGTCCCTATAAAATATTCCTTATAAATTGAATTTACGTCTAGTGAGATTATGCATCCAAAGAAAATCGATATTAATTTAAAAGATTTGATACGTGTCCGTTCATGCGCGCCGTTTTCTTTATTCCGTTCCGATTGAATTTACGCGATTGTTTTGTTACCTTAGAATGTAATCCACAATGAATGAAGTAATCGCGATTTTTTTATATTTACATTTACATGGATTCTTTTTAACTATTATTTGACTGATTAAAATTTTTTGCCTATTAGTTTACTATGCAGATAGATATTTTCGCGATTTATATCGAGATCCGTTTTGTTTTTTTATCAATTTTAATAAAGTCTTTCACTTTGATTTTTTTTTTAACGAAGTTATAAAAATTTTCTATTTTATCTATTTTTTATTTTATTTCTTTTTTATCTAAATTTTCTATTTTTTCTATTTTATTTATTAATAATTATCGCGCGGAAAATCTTGTTTGAAGATGAAATATTAGAGATTTGCTTCTGCAGCTTCCGCTCATTGCCATCGTAGCAAGAATAAAAAATTCTTATAGCATTAAGGATATATACAAATGCTTTTCTCGCAACTCAGGATGATTCGTTAAAAACTTCGATAACTCTGTGAACTATGCAGATCAATGACCTCCCAGACGCAATAACGTAGGAGCGTGTGTATCGCGTCTAGCAGGAAGTTGATAGTGAGAGAGCACGTCATCGCGTCCGTTCAGAAGCGAGAGCGAGAGAGCTCCGGTGATCACTTGTCAGATTTTTTTTTTTTTTTCCATGTTCTCTCACCATTGCTCGCCATTCGTGCCTGAGACAGGATTTTCAGAACGAGATGCTTGAACGTTGCAAGCTAATCATAGGGAAACCTGAATTATTGAGATTTAATTTAATATCCAGATATTAAATAATAAAATTTTTATATTTTTAATAAGAAATTCTCCTCCTTCTTTTGATCAATATACTTTATTAAATTCACTTGCGAAAGATGGAGTTTTTTAAATCAATTCATGTCGTCTTCAATTTATTTTTAAAAATCGTGAAAAATCGTTTATTTCCGTGTTTTTTTTTTGTTTTTTTTTTAATGCTTCGTGACGATTTCGATACGTTAAATTCAGAATTCTTTTATTAATCGTTTTACGACAAAAAAAATTGTGTTATATATAGGTACAAGAAAATATAAATTTTTAAAACAACATTCGAGAAAAAAAATGTGAAATTTTACAAACTGTAAACTGTCTCGATTACAAATTTCGTAGGCAAATGCCGTCTTTCTAAAGTTCGTATTACGTTTAAATTTTGCGCAACCACGATGAGAATAAGTCAGTCTACAATGCAACAAAGTTTGGATTCGCTACACAATATGATCGCTCCGTAACAATCTAATTTCGTCCGAATTCGCGCGGTGGATTTAATGGTACCGGATGCGGTCGAAACTGGAGACGCACACGCGTGTAACTAGCTCGGTTTGGTATTATGCGCCGACAGCGCAGAGACTCATGTCAGGTGATTCCAAATTATAAACCGAAACTCGACACCGCCATGTGCACGATTGCTTTTCACGCTCGCGGAAATTACAGGGCGATGGAATTGGATTTCAATAGCCGAGCTAACACTTCTATCCGCGCTATTTAGTAGCCCGTGACGGCTGCTTCTTTAGAATGACGTTTGCTTCTTTTTCAAGTTTATTTCCCGATCGCACGTCAATCGAATAA